GGCCGGAGGGGACCCCCCAGTCCGGCGGAGGGGCCCGCGAGGACGAGGAGCTGAGCGGCCATACCTGCACTTTCCTCCGCCCTGCCGTGTTCTGCCGGTGATGGGCCGCCATCTTGCATGTTGACACTCCGACGTCACTTCCGGAGGTGGCTCGTGCCGAGCGGATGTCCCGCCCCTTCCCCTTTGCCCCCCGGTGGGGACCGGGCTGAAGGCGGAGAGGGGATCGCGGTGCTGGCGGCGGGGCCTCGGTGTGTCCGGAGACCCTCGCCGGCGATACCTGCTTAAAAGCAGAGCAGTTGCAGGGGGTGATGTTGGCGGAGGGGGTTGACTTTTGTGAGCCGAGGCAGAAGTTCGAATCCTGCAGTGGGATTGCCTCCTGGAGGGCTCACGTTCTTGAGGCTGAACATGGGCAGCCAGCTCCCCAAACTCTCCTAGGCAGCAAAGAAAGCGGGCAAATAAATGTACCTTGAGCAATGTACCAACAGACTCGAATCCTAAACTGGCCTTGAAGGGGGAATGCTCAGAAGCCTTTGCAAACTAGGCACTTCCCATCTTCAGAAAAGAGCAAAGAATCCGTCTAATGAGATGTTACAGGAAAAGTCAGAACCAAAGACACGCCAGTCCTGCTCCCAGAGGCGACGTTCCCAGTTCCAAAGCCTGATGGACTTGAGGCTCATTCTGATCTCTGTAGTTTTAAAGTTGGCTCTTTTTGGATGGAGGACCTGTTGACCTTGCCCGCTAGCCACACCTGGCTCTTTGATGTCATCGCTATGTGTTGTTGTGTAGGAATGGACTCATTACTGACCCTCCAGTGGGTTTTCAGAGTCTGTAAATCCCCTGGGAGGAGATTGCGCGCGTCTTTTTCCTCCAAGCCTCTGGTGGTTTCGAACCCTGATTCTTACTGTTGGCAGCGCAACTCCTTACCACAGTGCCCCCTTGTGGCTGTTAGTACTGGGACTAGGCTTAGTTCAAGTTCAGATGCAGTGTAAATAGAAAATAATTTTGAAGGCTGAAAACAATAGACTGTCTCACATCTGTATTAATTGTTGTTGTTACCTGCCATCTAGTTGCCTGCAAGTCATAACGACCCCTATGTACGACAGCTCTGAAACCTGCCCTGTCCTGAGCCAGTCTCAATGACTCCGATGGATTACATATTGAAATAGTCTTTCTAAAGAGCACATATTATTGGAAGATTTTTTTTTTACATTTTTACAAGTGGAATATGTAAAATAACCTGAGACTCGGTTCTGTTTCCATTGGACAACCTGTTGCCGATACAGTCAATTCACATAGTCATTTGAAACCATTTAGACTTAATAGTGATTCTGGGTGTGCGTGTAACGGTCGAACTGCATTCTAGAGAGGTTTCCATCGCTTTGTACTCAAGGAGTGGCCAGGCTTTTCTTCTCTGGGCAGGTGTGAAAGGAGAATAGAGGCCTCATGCAACAAGGTGGTAGAAACCACTGGAAATTATTGAAAGGGCTTAACAGAGGAAGGGCATGATCTGCATTTCCCCCTTAACTTAATTCATCCCTTCCCTTCCCTTCCCTGCCCTGCCCTTCCCTGCCCTGCCCTCCCCTCCCCTCCCCCCTCCCTTCCCCTCCTCTCTCTTTCCCTTCCCTTCCTTTTTCTTTTCTTTTTTTTTACCGTGTTGAGAAACGGTACTATACCAGGCAGCAGGCAGGCTCATTACTCTGCTGGTTGGCATCTGACAGAAGTGGATTGTTGTGTTGTGGCTGCACGCCGGGGTGACCCCAAGAGCATTAACGTGACATTGTTTCAATGGGCAGAACGTCCAGTGGTGAGGCTCGATGTTCACTGACCAGAAGGAGAAATGGCCTTGGGTAATTAATGATCAAGTCACAGGCAGAAGGGACATTGTTGGCTGGTTGGCCACGGACACAGGTCCACAGCATGAAGAATTGGTGGCAAGGAGGGCTTGGTCAGGGATACAGTCACGGAGGTTACAGAATGAAGCTTAAGAACCACAGATGAAACATACCTCTCTGTGGATGAAAGTCTGCCTCCTTCTCCAGGCTCAGTGCTTGTTCACTGGAATAATAAAACAGTGCTTGTATTACGATAGGTGGCTATGTGTGGGATCATCAGATCACTAAGGGTGCAAGTTCTCAACTGCAGTGACCAATCACGAGTCCCCATCAATAATATCCATAGCAGAAAACATACGGTTGCCAGGTCAGACACGCTACTTCCCAGGCTCCTGCACCCATCTAGTCATTGCATTTTATATTTGTTGTTGACTCAAAGATTTTATTCACAGTTGTGGTACCAAGAGTGGGGTTTATTAGGGAAATAGGGTAGAGAGAGAGGGAGGCAAAGAATATCACCAATACAAATCCAGGTTTAGTCCAACAGTCCCAAACCAGATTAACAGCAAGACACAATTCCTCAATAAGTAAAAGTCCTGGTTTCAGACCAGCAGTCAGATTTTCCTTCTATCATTTGGCAAGAACAGCAAAAACCCTCTAACTATGGCTAATACAAATGCAAGAAGCCTCAGCTTACACTTTGCCACAGTCTCTCAACATCAATGACACAGCCTCACCACAATCTCTCCATCACTGTTGTCTCTGGAGTTTCAATCTACAGTGTGGAAAGCACTCACTCTCTTGTATTAGTCTCATAGCTGTTGATAATTTGCAAGACTATGTGTCCACAGTTAAGGTGGCTGGAGACCATCGTGGGCTAATGTAAGGGATATGTCCGTTATCCTAGAATGCTAAGCCAGCCACTTGGGGGCAAGTTGATTCCATTGGCCCCCATCCCTTCCACAGAGGAAGTAGTTGTCTGTCCTTCTTGAATGATATTTATTCTTGATTTACTTTCCCTGCTTACTGTACTTCTGCCAGCACTTGAAACATGGCTAGTTCAATTCAAGATGTAATTGTAAAATACTCATTGAATTTTAAAAATTTAGTGAAAAAATTGTGGTTTATCTTATTTTGTTCATGTTGATTACTTGTCAAAATGTTCATATTTCTTGGGCTCCATGTGCTTACCAAAAAGTCAATAATTCTATTTGAATTTACCATGTGTGCTGCAGAAGAAAGATGGCGCAGTTTCCTGCTATAAAGATTTTTTGTTGTTGTTGTTGACTTTGTTAGGTGTCATTGAGTGGAGTATGACTCTTAGTGATCCTATGAACAAAAGATCTGAACACCATTCTATTCTGTGCCATCCTCACACTTCCTAACACACAACCCATTGCAGGAGTCACTGCACCAGTCCACCTGGTCGAGGATCTTCCTCTGCTTTACTGACCCTCCACTCTTCCCAGCATGATGTCCCTCTCCAAAGAGTAGCCCCTACTAGCAACATGCCCAAAGTATGAGAGGCAAAGTCTCATCATTCTTGCCTCCAAAGAGCACTCCTTCTGCACCCTCTCCAAGACAAAACTGTTTGTTCCCTTGGCCTTCCATGGGATGTTCAGTGCTCTTCTCCAGCACCACAGCTCACAGGCATCAATTATTCTTCTGTCATCCTTATTCATTGTCCAGCTCTCAGATACATAGCAAGTAATCAGAAAGACTGTGGCCTGAATCAGACACACCTTAGTCCTCAAACTGACATAATCACTCCCAAAAAACTTGGAGAGGTCCCTGACTGCAGATTTTCCCAGTGCAATGTGTCTCCTTATTTCCTGACTGCTAGTACCAAGGAAAAAATATTTATAGCCTTAAAAACCCATCTTTTCTGTAAGCTTTCATTAAAATCACAATTTAAAAAAAGATTTATATTCTTGGAAACCTGATTGAAGGTCAATACGAGTCAATCAAGACAATGGCAGTAGATTTTTGGGATTTGTTTGTTATTTTTAATACCATCATCTGGATATTTACTAAAGGTCTTCTGTACTGTCTCAGTACCTGACACATGGCTTCTGACCATGAAACATACTCGACAACAAAAGAAGTAATGCATAGGCTATTGTACTTGAGATTCATTGGTCTATTATGCAGTCTATCCTCAAGAAAAACCTTCCTGAGCTTACTGAAGATAATATTATAGGCAGTTATTGTGGCCTTTAGAAGATAACCCTTTGTGATGTTACCCTACAAATTGTCCACCTTTCACATGCATGTAAACCAAGGACAGTGTGATTTCTCACAACCCCTGGGCACATTATCAAGTGGAGTCAGTCCTCGGAAAGGGACATCATCCTGTGGAGGGTCAGTGAAAGGGAGGAAGACTTTGCATGAGCTACGTTGGCACCGTGACGGAATCAGAGGGCTTAAGCACAGAGGAGCTTGTGAGGAAGAGGCAGGACTGAGCAGAGTTTTTATCTGGTGTACGTAAGGTCACCATGACTCAGAGTTGATTTGACAGCACCTAGCAACATTTACAGGATGCAGATCATTCTCTGAACTGAAGTCTAATGCTTGACATTTTCCTCCTGTTCCTTGCTGTAGCACGAGTCTAAAACATAGTGGTTTAAAACAGTGACACTGTTTCCTTGTATTACAAATCTGTCCTTTCTGCAGGAGTTAGCAGGGACAGGTTGTACCTGTCTCTCTCTATTTGACATCAGCTGGGGAAACATAGAGGACCCACTCTCTCACATGTCTGGTAACTGATGCTGGTGCTGGTGGGTTCTTGGGGGAACTGTAGCCAGCCAGCCACCTACTCATGACCTTTCACAAGGCTGCTTGCCTCCTCCAAGCATGGTGGCTGGTTTCTAAGGGTAAGCACCCCAAGAAACAGAAAACTAGTGGGTGCCACAAAGCCTTTTTAAAATGAACTGTGGAAGGCATGCTGCGTCACTTCAAACCACATTTAGTTGTTTAGAACTTAATTGCTGTCTCTGTACAAGGGATGGGGGCCATTGATGATTCCTTTTTTATGAGCTATGTGCCAAAGAATTTGTAGATATACATCAAAGCCACTACACAATTGATAGGTTTAGAAATAAGATAATTAATTAAAAAATTCATTTATAAAGCTTGTACTTCATTTCCCTGAGACTATGAGTTTTGCTGGTTCACAGGGTTTGGTTTTGGAATTTGCAAAATGTGCGTCCAAGATGAGGACAGAACCCGAGGAGGAAAGGACAAAAAACTACCGTTCTTAGACTTGGAGCTACGTGTTGTAGTGG